AAAGAGCTGGACTTGACCTTTTATTCTAGCCATTCCGTTAGAGGGGAATGGAATGAAAAGAGAGGTGAAAGTAAGGAAGCGAAGCAGGTAGAGTAGTTGGTTAACTCGTCAGGCTCATGACCTAAAGATTGCAGGTTCGAATCCTCCCCCTACACCTCAGGCCCAATTTGAAGATGAAATGCCTTAAGAGCACCTTGCAGTTTTATGTGACCTTAAATTGAAAGGTACAAGCAGCAACTACTACCAAAAACTAATGAAAGCTAAACTAAAAGACAAGAACATAACTCCTAATGCAAACAAAAGAGTAGCCGCTATGTTGCTTATGCTCTTTGATTTCCTTTCAAATTAAGCTTGAGATTCTGGTCTCATTTGAAAAAGTAATCTTGAATAGACTCTAAAGGCTGGGTAGCCTGTAGGTTCTTTTCTAGTTCCAAGAAGAAAGAAAGGTTCAAAAGAGTTAGTCCTTTTCTCTTCTTACTAAATAAAAATCTCATAAGCAAAGAATCCAAATTTACTCCATGACCTTCTAGCTGCTTTCTAGGCTCAAAAAAGCAAGCAATCTAACAGAAAAGGCACTAATAGGACTCAACTAATGCATTAAAGCACCAGTTATTGAGACAAGATTTCACAATTAGCAAATCTTTCTTTTGAACTCTTAAACAAGAGCTTATTCTTTTTAAAGATCGGATATGGTTAGATCGAATTCTAGCACAACCTAGTCTGCTAAAACCAAATCCTCTTTCACTTAAAAAAGACTTGTAGCATTCTTTTTCTTATTCCTATGATGATTTCTTTCATTTACACCTTCCCCTAAGAGCAGATTAGGATGCAACTTCACTTTTCTATTCTTTAGCAGATTACTTGCTCCAAGAATGCTTGCTATCAAACAGTTAGGGAAAAAAAGGAAAGGTGATGTAGGGCGACCTGCCTATTATGGCATTAAGACTAATTCAGTCTATTTGGCGACTCTTCCTAATTTATCAATTATACTAAAAGTAAGTCACTACCCAAGGTCTGAAAACATGCTTTGTACTCAACCCAATGATCCACACTTTAAGGCCAAACCCACAAGTCACTTTCAACTTGCAACAGCTCTTCGAGGTCAAAAATCTTAGGGCAATTGAAAATTAAACCCAGACTACTTATCATAAAAGGAATTAGGCATACTCAATGTAGTGCCCTAGCTTTGTGGTACCATATCTTCTCTATACTTAAGAGGGACTTCTCGAATGAGAATTCATACCCGAACTAGGAGATCTGGCTTGCCTTGAAGTAGCCTTGTAGTATAGATAGCAAGTCCTACAGAAAGAGGGCGAGAGTTTCATATTATGTATTTATAAATGGTTTAATGTAAAGGCTTAGCACCTTCCTTTGGTTCTAAGCGTTGCTCTAAGCATTTCTATAGGGGGCTCCCTTATTAGCAAACCGGAGGGCTGACCATTCTAACAAATTAGCCAGGGTCTTAAAAATGACAGGTGACCTATTATTGGAGGGAATCCGCATTTCTATTATTTGCATGATTATTCAGGGTTTGATCTTCTTGGAACAACCTCACTTGAGGCATTCTAGGTTAAATGGAAAATAGCTCCAAGATGATGAACACGAAATAAAGTTTTTCAAGTAATTAAAATGTTAAATGAATGAAAGGCCTTGTCCTGAATATTTTTAATATATTTAAATTAAATTACAATCATATTGTAATGACTATTTATTAATAGAAGTAAACTCTTACGAGTTTATAATTTAAATTTATCATACGAATTTACATTCCTGTCATGAATTTACTTAAATTTATGAGTTTAACTACCTTAGCTAGGAGGTTGAAATGTATTGATATTTTTATTTCGTTCCCTTGATACTGTTTATTTCTTTCTTTGGGCACTGCGAAGTAATTTCAGATTTTCTAAATCTTTTTTGAAATCAATTTCCTACTAGGAATTTCTTGAAAATTTTTCGTTGTTTTTCCTTCAACATGTCTCATGTAATAAATGAATTTTATGTTTATCATTGAGACATTTTAATGTTTACTTTGTCATTCTTGTTTAAAATTTTAAATTCATTTTTTGACTCAATACTATTTAAAAATAATATGTAATTTTTAATTATTAAGTCTTCATAATTAAAAAAATTATCAATATAAAATTACTTTAACCAACAAACACTTGGTTTAACTAGTTGAGGGGCTTGAATTAACTTATATTATGTCAATGGCATTCTCAAGCACCCATAAAGCTGCTAGGTTTTTTAATATATCGAGCAATGGAATTAAAAAAAAGCATAAAATGACTTTATGCTTATTTTTTGTCAATAAAAATAATGCAAGTGAGTATTCTAAATTCTTCTAAGATTTTTTTTTTCCATTTTGATTTAGGGGATACACACACATAACAGTGTTTATCCACGCAAGGATTGGTCCTGGTATGTCATTGTAAATAATGTTGTATATAATATTTATAAAATATTATATTATTTATAAGTGATAAATAATACAACTTAACTTTTATATGCCCATAAAACGGGGCGTGATTTTACCTGGGAACAAATAGAGTCCCATCACTTTGATAATGAAAAACATAACCTTAGGATTTTTTTTACTTTACTCAAATTTTATTATAAATTTTTATATTTGTTTTAATATTTTAGGTCTCTATATTTTTTTTGTCTGCACCTTAAATTCCTTCACAAGCATTGTTATAAGGATCTAAGGTGCAAATAAAAAAAATATAGAGATATGGAATAAAAAAAAAGAGAAAAATTTATAATAAAATTTGAATAAAATATAAACATTTAAAATTATGTTTTTCCTTCCATGATCAATTTCTAGGACCCCGATGCATGGTCAAATTGTTTTTGATAAAAAAGGACCACGAATCACCGAATGCGGATCAAAATGAGATTTTCGTTCTTTTGTGGATTAGTGGGTCTTCAGAATCTAAGCCCGAGCCTATGATCATCTCCTTCTCTACTGTCACCTTTTTATCCATTACGTCCTAATATGAAAATAATAAAATAAATTATCTCAAGCCCTAGTTATGCAGCAGCCAAGAGCAAATTAATTCGCTGTGAGAGGTATCTTTTCTATGACGTGTTTTTCAAGTATGGGTAAAAATTTTAGAATACCGGAGCTCAAGCAAAAAAATAAAAATAAAGTAAAGTAAATATATAAAACAATTAATATTATTTTGATGATTTTAAATAAAATTAATAAAAATGTTGATATTAAATTTTAAAATATTACAATGAGAGGTATTTATTTAATGTCATAAAAGATTTCACGAGTAAATCAAACGGCATTAAGCCATTTAGGCACTGCTTTCCTCATTCCAATGTTTAAACACACACTGGTCATCATGACTCCTCCATAATTGGTGCATCCATACCTTGTTCACAGTAGCTATTTGATACGAGACTTATATATAATGTCATGCAAGCACAGCGAGTCAATTCTGCAGAAGAAATCTCAAGAGGTATAACATGAAAAAAAAAATTGTTCTTTTGCAGTGAACATTTGCAATAGACTTGATGGTTTAATTATCATAACTTTCTTCAGTACAATACACTCAAATATTCTTATAATTAAATGTCGCAATTCTTTTCCTTTGTCTTCTCTCCCAATGAATCTCATTCCTTTGGTCATTCCATTTAATTGTAGCGTTTAAGTTGGTCACATATTGACCCACCCTTTGGCTTTAGGGCAGAGGGTGAGAAGGGTGAAGAACAAGTCAATGTTGAAGGAGAGGAAGAACACCACGTGGCAGAGAGCTGACGTGTTCCACAATATTAAATTGATTTCTCAACTTAATGATATTTGAAAATACTATACAATTATTAATTATTAAGTATTCTTAATTCTAAAATATATTATTTATTGTGATTAAATTATTTTACAAATGAATGTACTTTGATCTAGACGAAGGTAATTATGCCTTCGTCAGTATGAAAAAATATATCATTTCTTTTCTTTTTTTATTAAAAAATTAAATAAAACTATTGAAGCGATTAGTTCTAAATTTGTTGCAAGATCTTTTTTTTATTTTGATATAAAGAAGGAAAAATTACATTTAATTGCTTGCCAAGAAACTTATTCGCAGATAAAGATCAATATTAAATTTTATTTTTAAAAAATAAATCTATTTTTTAATTTTAATAACAATTTATTTTTTATTGATTATGATTTACAAATAAATTTTTTGCCAAACTCTTGAATGTCATCCTCCTAGGGCCATTTATGCGCACAAAAGAAGGATCATGAACCGGCCAATGAGATCGATGATGGGATCGTTGCGCAAACATGGATAAGTGGCTGCTCAGAATCTAAGCCCAAGCCATTACTACGGCGAGTGCCGTTTCAAACTCATGAAGTGACTGGGGCAACTTAAATCTATTACCATATCACCATCGAGTCATAAGTTCCAGTGGCCATGATATCTTTCTTCACTCGCACCTTTTTGTTCCATTACACAGTCAAATGAAAATAATAAAATAAAACATATATATATATAATAAATAAAAGTATTTTGATTAATTTTCAACAAAAACAATATTGCAATAAGAGATAATATATATTACTTTTACATTATAAAGAATTTCATAAATAGATCACATGACATTCATTTGTGTACTCAATAAACTATCTTAATGTAATTGGAAGGACCATTAAACAACTACTTGGAAGCGCTTTTTAAGCTTAGAGGTGACATATCCTAATCCTGGTGATCCACCAAAAATCCAGATCTAACTCAATTTTTTTTAATTGAAAAAAACATTCACAAAGTATCTTAGTTTTTCCAATTAGTTTTAAAAAAATTCACTCACACCCTCCCACACGAATATACATACTAAATTATTTCATACTCTCATTATTTATATAATATAACAATAAAAAACCTTTATTACAGCAACCAGTATAAAACAGTCACCTCTGATTCACATCCTATTCCCCCCCCCCCCTTCTTTAAATCAACATACGAGGCATTTCGGCTAAAAGAGGAGAATGGAGGGGAGCGAAAAGCTAACCAACGTTGTTAAAAGAGGTAAGCGAGCAAGCTTAAGTTTAGATGCATTTTCCTTAGATACTATTGAACCCACAGACACCGCGTATCCCAGGTATATTCTGTACCATAAACTTTCTTTTTTTTTTTTTTGGTGGGGGGCAACAAAAGGTAAACAGCAGGAAAATTACAGAACAAGTTGGATAGGTTAGTAGGTAGGTGGCCCCTGAGGCACATGGGAAAGTGCGAGAGCTAAGACAAACCACATCGTGTTTAATTTTCCTTTTTTCGTGGATGCCACGCAAATCGCACGACTTATGAACAGCACGATGATAAAGCTCTTGATCCTTCTGGAGGTCTATCCACAAGAACCATTCCTGCTGGATTTTGAGCAGGCTGGGCCCTCGGCAATCTCTTGGCTGTTAACAGAATTCACGGGTCACGGTGAAAAAAGTAAGATAATTCAAAACAAAAGCACATGCGAGACATGGGTATTTTTTCGCAGTTAAGACTTCAGACTTCAATCCCAGGCAAAAACAGTGCAAATATCGCCCTCCCCTACAAATGATGAACAGACTTTTCTCTCGAGGAGAGTATCTCTTCTTTGGTTTCATGTTTCCCCTTCTAAATTATCCTAAACGCAACTCAATAAAGGAAGCAAACCAAACACAAGTCAAATTAGGATTATTAATCGTCCCCGATAAGAAGCTGAAACACTGACACAGGATAGGAAAAGACTCGTACCTATTTCATAAAATACATCATTTACATTAGCTGCAGTTTTGGCAGAGGTCTCCATGAAAAAGAGAGAATTTTCCTCGGCATATACACGTGCCTCCTGCAATGCAAATATTAGAAATTATGAGCTGGTGGTTAAATTCCGTTAAAAGAAATTCCCCGACAGTGTAATGCAATATCGCTTCACCAGAGTTGCCACTGAAGTGATTAGATTGTGAAAGGAAATATAATTCTTAATAAGATTATACACCATGAAACGAGTAGTTAAAAAAATAATAATAATAATACTTACTTCAGCTGTCACTTGCCTCCTATCTTCCAGGTCAGCTTTGTTACCAGCAAGAGCCATGACCATATTTGGGTTCCCTGAAACAAACAAATTGAATTCATTCATTAAATTTCTACATATGCAACCACAGACCCCGCACACCTAGAGCACGGCCAAAAGGGTTAGAACTTATATCACTTTTGAAAGGAAACCTGTCAACTGTTATTTCCCGAGTCGTAACACAGCAGTGATCAATAATTTGTTATCTTTATTTCATGATATAGGAGTCGTAGATCAGTGATGGAGAAGTTCAAGCAAATATACATATAATATCATAGGTAAAATACATATTATTTGATGTCGTCTTCAAAACTGGGAATTGAGGAAAATACAAGTCAGAAAATCATGCAGGGGGAAGACCAATGTCATTGATGACTCCCCATATTTTGTGCCATTCGACATATTTTTAGAAGTTATTTGGGGAGTTATAATTACATTTGGGGGGTATTTTGATCCATTTTCTATAGAATTGGGCTCATTGATGTTTTTGTAAATTATTGGTAAATATGGAGAGAATTGAGTAAAAATTGGTCTAAAGCAAGCAAATATTGTTTTTCACTGGTTTTCTCTGGTGCCCTAGCACCAACTTTGTGGTGCCGCAGCTCAATAACATGAAAATAGTGATCATGCTCTTTGGTGTTGTAGCACTATTGCAGACCCAAAACAAACAGCTTCACTAATACACGATTTTTGAGGGTTTCTTGCATATAATTTGAGGGTTTTCTTCATTTTACTCATCTGGATTTGAGAGGAGGCTTGGGGGCTCAAATGAAGGTGAAGGTATGGGGATGCGAAAGGTCAGTGGTATAAGTGGAAATTCAGCACTGTTTACTGGTTTTCTCTTTCAATTCTCTTCCTTTCTATATCTTTTATTTTGTGTTTGGTTGGCTTTCTATCTTGCTCACGGGAATGGTCAATTTATGTAGCTACACCTTTGTTTATAGCTTGATTATGGATCAATGGATGATAACAACCCATTAACACATTTGCTGCAGGTTGTCATGGCAAGGACATAATGATGGATATCTCGTTGGGTCTTCTTTCAAAACCCAAGAAGCTAGGTTTATAGTTTCACCCTAGTTTACTTTCTGTTTATATTTCAGATTTTACGGGATTAGAATAATTTAGATTTAGTTAGATTTAATTCTATTACTCCTGCAGATTTAGTGGGCTTTCTGTTTCTGTAATATTCCTATACAGCCCTGCAAGCAGAACTCAGTTATGACTAAGAGCCTGAGCTTTCACACTTAATTACATAGTTTGAAAACAGCAAAACCAAGTTACAAAGTTGTAAAGTTACGGGACTAATATTAGGATGAAACTGGTGATTATACCAAATATTTTTGGCTCTACTTTTTCATTGTATACATTTAACACGCATCTTTTATGTCACAGTAATCTACTTAAATCAAACATTCATAGAAAAAGGAAATCAGCAAATACCTTGCTTTTGAAGTTCTTGGACCCACTTCTTTGCACGTGTAAATGAATCCTGCAAATAAAATGTACAAAACCTATCACATGAAACCTTGGTGCACAAAGGGAATTAAAATCTCAAAAGCATAGTCTAGCAGCAAACCCTGACAAAAGATCAACATCCAACCCACACCAAATCCAATGCTCATGAAAGATGTCAAAATGGCCACACTACTTCCCAATGCAAAAAAACAATGGCTGTTTGTCTCAAACTCCAACGACACATTACACAAACAGCATATGAAATAGGCTTCCTTGGTCTACAAGTTAGAAACATATCATTTGTATTTATTCTAACAGGCATCATAGGCCAGAAGAAAAACTTAACATTTGGATAATAAATCAGAAAATTAAAAAAAAACAAAAGGTATTGCATGTATATAATCCCAACGAATCCAAAAGTTAAAACCTTTTACCGAGGAAATTAGAAACATGGATAGGAGCATGGATATCCAATAATATCATTAATACTTTAAGAGAAGTGAAAATTCCAGTAAAAATAAGAAATCCAAAGAATCTTAAAGATAACAAAAAATCAGTCTAATGTTCTAGAGTTTCCTACTTCCAAATCTTCCATCATTCTCCCTTGCTTGAAAGAACTTCCTTCGAAGAGTAAGACTGTCAATACTTCATGATAGTTGGATGATCATGGTGTTTGGATGATGCAGGAACTTGTTCCATGATCGGTAATTATTCTTGTTGCAAGGGAGGATCAAACATCGAGAGCTACATGGAGATATACAGGTATAGGCTATGGTTCCAGAATCCGGAAGTTGAGAGCTATACAAGCGTAGATTATGGTTCCAGTGAGCTTTTTGGCAACAAAAGCGTTTACAGAGTATAGCAATGCAAGCTCTAATGCCAAACTAATGCTTAACAAGAGGGAGGAGAGGGAAGAGAGGAGGGAGATGTAGACCAAATTGAGAGAGTGACCACAAAATATTCAACTTTATTCAATTCATTTAAAGGTTTGACAAGTAAAGAAAAAACTTTTTTCTTTTTAAATAATCACAAGTAAAGAAAAACTTGGCTCAAGTTACAGGGCTTTAACCATAACCCTAATATAAAAGATAATCTAAGCAAATCACAATGTTCAAATGTAAGCTGGCACTAGTAATTTAGAAGATTAGATTTATTCAAACAAAATTATAATACAAATCAAATCTAAAAGATGATTATAATAAAACAATAAATCCTAAGAATCTAAAAGATAACATAAAAATCAATCTAATATTCTAATGCTTCGTGCTCCAAGTAGGAGTCTTCCATCTTCCATCAATTTATGTATGTATGTATTACCTACTTCAATACAAATTCACAATATCATGAGGGAGAGATAACATACTGTGCTAGTAATATCATAGACAATGATGGCAGCAGCAGCTCCTCTGTAGTACATGGGAGCCAAGCTGTGGTACCTCTCCTGTCCAGCCGTGTCCCAAATTTCAAATTTAACAGTTGCATCATCAACAGCCAATGTCTGTGAAAAGAAGGCTGCACCTATTGTTGATTCCTGTCCACACAACAGACTATATAAACTCAGCAACAGAGACTTAATAAGTTTATCAGACTGTTTCTTAGGCTTTGGCAAAAACTAGCAGACATGAGAACCAAAACCGCCAACGTGCAAATTGTTGTAAAGAGAAGATCGAGCATAATCGTTTTCCCTCCTTTGTTTCCTCAGATTACCATAGTAAACTACATAGCTGGAACCATTTACTCTCACCACATTCCTGAGGAGAAGGGAAAAAGCATCCATACCTGTGCTTTATGTGATCAGAAGAAACAATTCTCATCTTCTGAATTATAGATTTTAGAAACATTGCAATTAAAACATCACAATGCTGATAAAAATTGAATTCAAATTATAATTTCATCCGAAAAATTAGTTCAACTTCACTCGAATGAGCTAAATTCAAAATACCAAAATATTTGTTTGCCCAGGGAGAGAGACATGTAATTCAATGAACATTTTCAGTATATCAGTATATCAAACTCTAAATATACCCAGTAAAATTTCAAGCGCATCTAACTCAAATTCACCCAGTAAAATCTTCAAGAGAAGCTCCGAATTAAGTGAGGAGGTAAAGTAACCTGGAATTCAAGAAATTGACCCCTGACAAATCGCAAAACCAGGCTGGACTTTCCGGCGCCCATATCACCAAGGAGAACCTGATCATCAATTGAGACTGTTATAACCTCGAACCGTCGACAAACCTGGCAAGGAAACAAAAATGATGAGAAAATAAGGAACCGAAATCAAACTCACCAATTTGGCGTTGAGGTTGTTGTGCCCGATCGTCGCCATGGTTATAAATCGGATCGATTGGAAGGGAAGCACACCGAGACCCAACCAATCGAAGAAGAAACAGAAATTCCCAGAAGTTGAGAGGACACGTCGGGGATTCTAAACAATTAGCTGAGGATTGGAATCAAGGACAAAGAAAGAAGAATCCGAAGCAGAGTCTCTCTCTCAATTGTATTACCTTTCCCCCACGATGGTTGCTGCGTGCTAACGAATATTGTGCTTGTGTGTGTGTGTGATATACACATTGTTTTTGAAGGCCAACTAAACCCGCATTATGCATTATGTATTTCTCATAAGAAAGCTAACATAATCTGATCTAAGTAAGTCCATAAATAACTGTTATCAGGTAAAAAAGAAATAAAAAAAAAAACATCCTCAACGAGTAGGTTAGGTATTGGATTATTGGATTACTTTAATAATATATGCCGACGACGATTAAGTAACATGATAAAAATTGTTATCAGAATTGCAACTATCGATAAATATAATTATAATAAAATAGAATCAGCCCAAAAATTGAATTAGAATAAAGACGTTAAATAATAAGAAGAATTACAATTAAGTCTCACATAAAAAATTAATTGATGTAAGATTCATTGATAATTAAATTAAATTATATTAACAACTAATTGTATTATCAATATAATTTAATTTAATTATCAATAAATTTTGTAGTGGTTAATTTTTTTATGTGAGTTTTCAATATTATTCTCCATAAGAAAAGTGATGCTCCAGAGTGTAGCTAAATTCCACCGGCATGTTGCTTTTGTGTATTATATGAGATGGGCAGATAATATATATTGAATTAAAGCATATTTTTATTCTTAAACTATTCTTGAAGAAGTATTCAATGTTTTAAATTATTTGTTATGGTAATTTAACCATAAAATAATTAAAACATAACATGTTTTCCTCTAACATTAAATACCTCAATATTAGTTAAAAAATACTTATTGGAGTTTAAGTTTAAATAAAAATGTCACGTGTCCTGTTAGGTGGGTTTAAAAATGTTATATTTTAATTATTTTAAAAATAAAATTACCATACAACAAGTAGTTTTGAACATTAGATGCTTTTTAAATAATAATCTAAAGATAAAACTATACCTTAATTCAAATTTTTTTAGCACAACAAGTGATATTTGACTCATCTTAAATCCGAGTTAACATTTTTAACAATCAATGGTTTAGGACGTGGGATATTTATCGGAGAATAGGTTGAGGACAAGAATATACCTTGGTTCTTTATACCAGAACATATAAAAAACAATTTTTTTTTCATACAGCGAAAAGAAAAATACAATAAAGGGGGGAAAAAGCCAAGCTATGTAATATCATTATCCTGCAATATGTCCATGGCTAGATCATCAGGAACCATGCGAAGATCTAAGGGGCACATGAAAAACAATTATATAGTTATAGAAGACAAAGCTTAACTCTAAAATTAATTTTATCATGTTTTTTATTCACTGATTGAATAAAAAATAATTATTCAATCCTTTTAAGTTTTAACTGTTTTCAAGTTCAATAATAGATAATATAATAGCACTTATTCTTATCCAAAATGTAAACATCTTTTAAAAATAATTCGCATTCCAATAAAATTTCTACTCTCATAAAAATATATATTATTTTTTAACCTTTAGTCCTAATTTATAGTGAGTGAGAAGAAGGTCATGACAGATACATAAATTTAAATTAATAAATATAAGAGATAAAATGAAAAAAATATATACATTTTGATCCCTACACACTTTGCTCGTATTTTATTATAGGTTTTTATACTTTTTTATATTTTTAGTTTCTACATTTTATTTTTGTAGTGTAACACACTAAAATTTTTTTTTAAAATAATTTAACTTAACCATGTAAAATATTTTATAATTGGCTTCAACTCACACAATATAACATTTTAGATAAATTTTTACCTTCCACATGCCATTAGGCTAAATCATATTTATCCATCCTTATACTCCCAACAAATAAACTAAATCATATTTGTCCATCCTTATAATCCCAATAAGAAAAATAAACAATTTAATCAATTTTCAACACAAGCCAGTTATTTGGCCTCATAATCATGCCATTTTAACCAATCCAAAGTAAACCAACTATTAAAATTACAATCATCCAAAGTATACCAAAAATAGAAATAGTTTGAAAGACATGATTATACTTATATATTCATATAATTGTCAATAAACAAAAAGCCTTAATATTGGCAATATAACACATTATAAATCATAAATCAAATACCCAAAAGAGACAATGGATCTAAACCACTAAGCCTCTGGGACTCCTCCACATGTCACTCGTGGCTCTTCTCCTGAAAATTGTTAACCACATAATGAGACTCAAAAGTCCCAGTAACTAAAGTCAATTTATGATAGTGTGTACAAACAGTTAAGTGTGTGCTTACTAAGTGGAAACCAAAAATAATATAATTCCAACAAATATAAGAAATATTACAATACACACAAACAACCACCTTATATCCCTCCATTAACCTCGAGCCGTAGCTCTCACTCGGTGCTAAATTACCCGACCAAAGGTAGATTAACCCGAGCCCTTACAAGCCACCTATTGAGCTCCAATAGAGGTATACCACGTGGCACATAAATACAACAACAATAGCAAGTCTCCCAACACCTCCCACAATAATCAAATAAATTCATAATAATATTGCACAATTATATAATATTACAAAATTTATAATTTTCTCAATAATCACCCAATTAACATGAAGTAACACAAATCACAAATTAAAAGCATGGTTAACTCGTGGCTTTTCAATAAATTATTCCTTACAATTTCTCTCCCATCACAGTCTTCACCAATAATACAATCTACAAATAACATATTATTTATGAATATTAGTTTCAATTTTTTTGAAACTAATAAAATAATTCTAATAATAGAATTAAAAATATAACATAATTTTTAATCTCAATCTTAATACAAATCTAGAGTTAATACTATTAAGTAAAATTTGTAACTCCTCTTTTACTCATCAATAAACATTAATAATCTAAAAATCAACTTCTAAACTAATTTCTATTATCAAAATTTTCTTTTTATTTCATAAATTCGCACCTAAAATATCCAAAAATTAAAAATTGAATCTCTAGCTTAGAATCATAATCCTATAGCTATAATAATTCATTTCTTATCCTAAATAATCATCTAAACCTCAATAAATCAACATATATTTTCAGATCTAGTTTAGAATTTGATCCATAAGCCACAAATTCAAAGATCACCAATAAATTTATACTCTATAATATTTATTATACTACTGATAATTTCAAAAATTATATTTATTCAACATAAATTCATCCCTCTTTCAGATCTTAAATTTTCTACTACTACAAATCAAAAATCAAAGAGGAAGGATGACTAAGAAAATTTTTTAAAACACTTACTTAGTCTTAAAAAGCTTAAAATCACACCCTAAATATCCTATTAAAAATTCTTACCTTAAAAACTCAGATCTCCCGCATCGGCGACTCACGCTCACTCTGCCTCAGCTCGCGCACGAAGGAAAGAATGAAGAAATGAAAGAAACGGGTGAGTTTTTACAAAAATTCAGTGGGTCTTACATCTTTTTTTTATTATTTCTTCTTTCCTCTCTCTCCCTTTTTTTATTATTATATACATAATCATTGCACCGAAAGTGCTCACTTTTTCTTCCTTCTTTCCTTCCTCTTTCTCATACCTTTTCTCTTTCTTTCTTTTTATAATAATAATAATAATTTAATAATATTTTATTTATTTATTTTTTAATTAATTAATTTTTTAATTTTTTTTATTTTAATTTAGAATTATATCCTAAATTAGATTTAATAATTATTTTCTACTAATTTGCTTACCTCTAAATATTTTTCAAAATTTCTATTAACCCAAATTAACTATTAAAATTTAAATTGGGATGTTACATGTAGTGTTCAAAGTCCCTACATGAATAAAATATAAGGACCTTGGATGAACATAAAACACCAAAAAATGAAAGTGTAAACATCAAAAAAAGTACAGAAACCTATAACAAAAAACGAGCAAAATATAAGGACCAACAGGTATGTTTTTTTCAATGAAAAATATGCACAAAATAAAATGGGTGGAGAATGTTTATACTTTAGATAAGATGGAGTTTGTAATAAAAGACTAATTAGGTTTTACTTCTCTTTTTAGTCAAAGTATATATTTAGTTTTTTAACTTTATATAACATCTCATTTTAATCTCTTAACTTTATAAAATATTTTTTAATTCTTTAATTCTAACATTGTTAGTTTTATCCAAATAAATTTTTACAATAAATTTTTAAATACTGATAAAATATTCTCAATGACATAGCAAGTTTAATTTTTTTAAAATAATAATGATTGACACATAAAATAATCATTTAAAATAAACGTTATTAGAGTTAAAAAATTAAGAAGATACTTTTAAAAATAAATGATCAAATTTAAATCTTATATGAAATTAGAAAATTAAAAATATACTTTAACCTTTATTTTTATTTTTATTTTTTTTTTGTCACAGAAAGCCAAATTAACGCTTACGCCTTATAGTATGCAATAAATTGAACTCGTGAATCATGATCTAATATTTTTAATGTACTTAGAAAATTAGAAAATGGCTCAATAGGAGCTTAGCTGGCTAGCCTAAATCAAACACGGGTTGACGTGTTGTCAAGCGCTGGTTGGTGCATATTTTTAAATTTTTTTTTATATCAAAAGAAAGGATACATATCAGCAAAATGGTTTTCCCTATTTTTAAAGAGAATATACTTTTGATTAACAAACAAAATTAATTTCTTAAAATGTTTGTTTTTTTTCCTTTTTATAAAATTAATTTATCAGCTACTTTTAATGATAGTTATTCATTTGTGTGCATCAGTTAACTTGTGTCTTATATTTGATTCTAATTCTGCGCTTAGCTTTTTCGTGCACAGGGATTGATTGTAGTGATCCCAGTGTCAAGGACAACAAAAAGTATAGCAGTATTCTGATTCTTGAACTATAAAATTAATTAAAATATTGGCATTTAAATTTCAAAGATTTATTCTGTTTTTGGTCCTAACTATCATCAAAAGTAAACTTTTAAATCATATATTTTATTTAATATCTCACAAAGAAGTGTCAATAAAGAATGATCTTTAAATATAGTCTCTAAATGTCGACTTATGCTATTAGTTTTTATTTTTTTAACAAGAATAAAATTCATTTAGTCCATGATTCCTAGAAAGCAAATCTTTTTAAAGCAACTCAACTAGTTTTTTTGAACATCGATATTCAAAAGTAAAAATTAACTTTTAGTGATCATAGAACTTTATACAATTACTTTTAACTATCATCGAAAGTAAACTTTTAAATCATATGTTTTATTTAATATTTCACAAAGAGATGTCAACAATGTCAACTTATGTTATTGGTTTTTATTTTTTTAACAAGAATAAAACTCATTTAGTCCATGATTCCTAGAAAGCAAATCTTTTTAAAGCGACTCTACTAGTTTTTTTGAATTATAAATAAAAGGATCATCAATATTCAAAAGTAAAAAAAAACTTTTAGTGATCATAAAATTATGAACTTTATACAATTAATGAAAAAATAAAGGGAGAATTATGTATAAATCTCATATAAAAAAATTAATTACTATTAAGTCTATTAACAACTGAATTAAGATTATTGTTTAATTGTTAATAAAGTTTTTAATAACTAATTTGTTCATGTTAGACTTTTTTTAAATTATAAATAAATGGATCATCAATATTCAAAAGTCAAAATCAACTTTTAGTTATCATAAAACTATAAACTATTGAAGTTGTTATACAATTAATAGAAAAATAAAAGAAAAATTACATACAAATCCCATACAAAAAAATTTATTACTACAAAATTCATTAACAACTAAATTAAAGCCATTGTTTAATTGTTAAATTTTATGGTAATTAATTTCTTTATATTAGACTTTAACATAATTCTACCAAAAATATAAAACCTCAAAAGCAAAAGAAAAATTGCGGGAAAAGAAAAAGAGAGGAAGATCTTGTCATTCATTTTGATGTAAATATACTCATTTTTATAAGAATGCATTACATTGAAACGTTTAAATATCAATGTAGTGATTAAAATACCATTTGAAGAGATCAAATCTAACTCTAGAACCAATTAATTAATTCCAATTTATTAAGAGAGAGAGAGAGAGAGAGAGAGAGAGAGAGAGAGAGAGAGTTCATTCTAAAGAAGAATAAAAACTTCTTTTGAAGTTCACTTCCAATGTCTACCGCTTCCATAAATGCTCACTATCAATTTGATTTCTCAAAATTAAAATTATCATGGCTTTCAAAATCCGAAACTGTACTTGAAAAAGGGATTGAAAGATTCTTGTCACCACAACCCCTGCACAGTCAATGTCATCTAAAATAGTTGATAGTGAAGTCAAGACATTTTAAGAATTTCCCAACGAAATGCTTCCTATTTATGGAAGATTGCTAATGTTGGGAAGTTACATCCTGGAGATCTGAAGGGGAATAGTAGTTTCAAGCATTTCACGGCTAACATTAGTAACTAGAGGCAGCTCTTCCATCATGTGGCCTTGTTTGGCCATAAGATATTGCTGACAATTACCAGCCGCCATGACTCCAGCAGAGTAAGCTCCATGCACAGATCCCTGGTGATCCAAGCTCACAGCTTCCCCACCAAAGAACAGATTTCCTACTGGTGCACGAAGCCTGTCATATACATCATCAGGCTTCCCAACCAAGTCATATGAGTAACAACCAAGCGTATTTGGGTCCGTCCCCCAATGGGATACCAGGTACTGAACCTGCAAATAATCCAACAAAACCATAAAGTCAGGCTCCTGCATGCAGATGCATTTCGAGTCTACATACAACAAAGGCATCTTTGGATTTTTTTTCTTTTTTCTTTTGGTTTTTTTTTGGGGGGGAGGGGGTTAGGAGAGGAAAGAAATGGAAGAGAAGCTCCTGATACTACGAGATTTTTTTTAAACAAAGAAAAATTATTTTTTAACCATTCATTTCCTTTCCATTTTCTTTTGATTCTTTCCCTTCCTTTGTCCTCCCAACTCCAGAAATACCTCTGGGATTGGAGGTCAATCTAAATCAGGGACATGTCAATCTACACGGGAACAGCGCTTACTGGCTCAGAAGCATCAGGAAACATCTTTTTGAGCTGTTGCATTACAAAATTTGCTGCCGCCTCATCAGTTAGCTTTTCAAGATCGGAAGCAAATCTGCCAGCTGCCATGTAGACAAGAACCGGATGGCCTGTTGCTTTGTGGAGATTCAGAAAATAGCCACAAGCATAAGAAGTGGGAGCTACAACGCCCATGAGCTCTACGTTTGGCCAAAACACCCTATCAAATCTCAGGGCAATTTTATTTTCATTGCCCACACCAAGATCTGAAATTGCAGCCACCTTCCAGTCAGGCAGTTTTGGTTCAAATTCAATTAAATTGGCTTTGAGGATTCCAAGAGGAACTGTTACAATAGCAGCATCAGCGACAAAGTTCCTGCCATCTTCAACTGTGACCATCACCTTATTGTATCCACTGGATATCTTAGTCACCCTAGTTTTAACAGAAGGATCAAAATCATAAGAGGTGACACAAAGGAAAATGAGTTAAGTATTCTACTTGCAGAAACATGAAAATAAAAATGTCAGCAAGCCACAGTTCTCTGGGTTCAAACTATAAAGTGGGTGCCAGACAAAAGTAGTAGACTCAATTTACAGCCAGTGGATGGGTGGCATCAGTTTTAGCTTCCTTCTTTCTATCTCTTGTCAATTGCAAGAAGTCAAAAAGAATGGCAATAAAATCATGTAGTTAAGACATGATGTAAATTGTATGAGCATACCTATGGTTCAAACGTATGTCGATATCCTTTGCAAGAGATTTTATAACAGGATCATATCCTTGCACCATAAGTCCATGACCACCAGAGAGGACATGCTCCTGCAGAATAATTAATAATCTCAACAATATAAGTACTCATTTCAATATTAAATTTTTCCTCAATTACCAATAATTTCCCATAATCAATGTTTGAATGTTAAGGTATCGGAATGTTATAAAATAATACATGAAAGGGGAATATTCTGACACTCTGCTTTTGAATACTATATCATAAGTGGTTAGTAGGATATGATAAGTTTAAGACAGCTAAAAATTGAAGGTTCCCTGATGAGAGAAATCTTCCACTAGAGTTCCCATCACCACAATTAACGAACTTGTCACAGAAAGCTATGAGCAAAATATTTTTCTTCACTTCCTGCGTCTGTGATCTCAAGTGTTTGAGATCATGCCTGTTGAGTTTTAAGGTTTCCTGCTACAAATTTCAAAAGCAGAGCTAAAGGTGCTGGTGATTTCACCCCTTATACTTGAATCTCTGTATTGCTATGACTATAAGTAAAATCTCTGAATACTTGGCATGAACTTCATGAAAGTACTAGAGGGAGAGCCTTGGCACAACAGCAAAGTTATCACTGTGTGACTTGATGGTCATAGGTTCACAGAAAGACCATGTATGGTAGACCCAAAATGGGTCTGGCCCTCCCTGGACAGTGCATCGAGTTGTTCCTTTCATCTTCATGAAAGCACTCATATGGCAATCATGCAATTAATTGCAGATTATTCTATTTCACTAAGTTATTCAAGCAATTCAAATATTTTTAGGATTTGAACTAAATCTCATCAAAGTGTGATGGGAGTTGAGTGGAGAGAAGTGGATAATTGATTGGGTGTGTGATAGGGCCCGTTATTTTCTTAAGACATATCAGAGGAAGTCAAAGGGGAAGAATAACTCTAGTGGAAATACTTGAACCAGTCTAGAAGTTTACCCTTCAGTCCATAGCCGTAAGGAACAGTATTTTGTGATCTTTTGTAATGATTGGGATCTTTTGGGTAGTATGGGCGATGTGTCAGCCACTGAAGGTATTAGTAGTCTTCTGTTTAGGAAGGGGGGGCTAAGAAGAAGGAGACTGGAATAGTAAGGAGAGATTGGCCTCTCGAATGCCAATGGGAGTGAGACTCTTGTATTGAAGCTTGTAATCTGTGTTGCTAGAGTGTTTTATCATCTTCTAGGGGAAATAGGGTTTTGGGCCAGAATCAGAGTTCCCATGTACATCTGATTCGGTTATTCATCTCATTAATATCAAAACCTAAGTATTTTCCTCTCATATTAATTGCTGTTGCTGTCTTATTTATTACTCTTTGCTGTGATTCTGGTTTGGGACACATTATTTGGTAACAGAGCAGGTACAATCTCTGGGTGTGGTGTGTAAGGAGATATGGCGGAAAGGGTCCAATATGCTGATCTGGAGGTACAGGAACTGAAGGAAACGGTTGGGGTATTGACCCGAGATGTAAACGGTATTAAAGAAACATTGAAGACTATTAATGATGCCTTGGTGCAAATAGAGAAGAAGATAACCGGGCCACGTGCAAACGAACAATAAGGTCATGAGGAGGTTTCGGTGAGCAACCCAGGCGGTGATACAGACGGAAGCAAATATAGAAAGTTAGAATTACCTGTTTTTTCAGGCGAGGACCCGCTAGGATGGCTTTTTCGGGTGGAGAGATATTTCCATGTTAACTCCATCATATGGGAGGATATGGCTAAAAAGATACGGGAGGTTGCAAAAGTAGTTTTGGGAGAATCGAAAGGTCCTGGTCCGAGAGATAAGGAGTCTTGGTGGTGGAATAATAGTGTACAGGACAAAATCAAGTATAAGAAGAATTGTTTTAAAGCCATACATTTGTGTAACAATGAGGAAAATTGGGAGAGGTACCGTATGGCTAAGAAGGAAACTAAGAGAGCTGTGGGTGAAGCTCGTTCTAAAGCTTTTGAAGAATTTTATAAGAACCTTGAGACGAAGGAAGGAGAGCAAAATATTTATAAGATTGCCAAGAGTAGGGAAAGAAAATCAAGAGATCTAGAACAGGTAAGGTGTATTAAGGATGAAGAGGGAAGAATTTTAGTTACAGATGATGAAATTAAAAATAGATGGGAAACTTATTTTTCTAAACTTTTCAATGATGGAGAGGATTCATCTAGTAACTTGGAGGATTTAGTAACTGGTGAAGGAGAACAAAATTTGTCATTCTATCGAAAAATACGTGATAAGGAGGTAAAGGAAGCTCTTAAGAAAATGGCAAATGGTAGAGCTAACGGACCTGATTGTATATCTATCGAAGCGTGGAAATGTTTAGGTGAAGAAGGGGTGAGATGGTTAACTAAGTTATTTAATGTGATTTTACGGTCCAAGAAAATGCCTGATGAGTGGAGGAGAAGTACATTAATTCCTATTTATAAAAATAAAGGAGATATTCAGAATTGTACTAACTATAGAGGGATTAAACTCATGAGCCACACAATGAAATTGTGGGAGAAAGTAATTGAGCACAGGTTGAGATTGGAGACAAGTATTTCTGAGAATCAATTTGGTTTTATGCCAGGTAGATCAACTACAGAGGCAATTTATCTACTAAGGGGATTAATGGAAAAGTATCGTTGTAAAAATAAAGATCTACACATGGTTTTTATTGATTTGGAAAAAGCTTATGACCGTATACCAAGAGAAGTGCTTTGGAAAGCGTTGGAAAAGAAGGGAGTACGGATTGCTTATATTAAAGCCATACAAGATATGTATGAGGGGGTAAAAACTAGTATAAGAACGCCTAGTGGTCAAACAAAGGATTTTCCTATAAAGATTGGGCTACATCAGGGATCATCTCTGAGTCCTTATTTGTTCAACTTGATTTTAAATGTTTTGACGGAACATATTCAAGAGGAAATCCCGAAATGTATGCTCTTCGCGGATGATATAGTTCTTATAGCAGAGACAAGAGAAGAGGTTAATTGCAAACTTGAGTTATGGAGGAGGACATTGGAGTCGAAAGGTTTTCGTCTGAGTAGAAGTAAGACGGAATATTTATATTGTAAATTTGATAAAGGACTATTCGAAAATAATTTGGAAGTGAAATTGGGAGATCAAATTATACCTCAAGTGGAAAAGTTTAGATATTTGGGAGCCATTATCCAAAATGATGGCGAAATCAGTGGAGATATTTCACATAGAATTCAAGCTGGGTGGTTTAATTGGAGAAAAGCTAAAGGAGTTATTTGTGACCGTAAGGTGCCTAATAAACTTAAAGGAAAGTTTTATCGTACTGCTATCAGACCGGCAATGTTATATAGTAGTGAATGCTGGGCTCTAACGGGACAGCAAGAGCATAAAGTTGGAGTAGCAGAGATGAGAATGTTACGATGGATGTGCGGACATACACGTAAAGATAAAATTCGAAATGAGCACATACGTGAAAAAGTGAGGGTGGCACCTATTGAGGAAAAAATGGTAGAAAATCGGTTGAGATGGTTTGGGCATGTACAAAGAAGGCCAAGGGAGGCACCAGTGAGAAGAGTGGAACATATAACTTTGAGTCCGATTAAGAGAGGTAGAGGAAGGCCTAAGAGAACACTCTTGGAAGTTGTTGAACGTGATCTCTTAATTAATAATATTTCTAAAAGCTTAATAAATGATAGAGCACAATGGCGTCTTGCAATCCATGTAGCCGACCCCACCTAGTGGGATAAAGGCTTGTTGTTGTTGTTGTTGTTGTTGTTGTAACTCCATTGCAGAACGAGATAAGCTTGAGGCTGTGGTGGTATGTCTTGAGGGAAAGGCATTAAACTGGTACCAATGGCTGGAGACCAGGATACCTCTGAGTCACTGGACGGAGTTCAAGAGTGAGCTGCTACGCAGGTTTCACTCTTCTCAGCCAGGGGGGGAATATGAGTGATTGTTCACATCCAAACAGGACAAGACGGTGCTGGAATTTGTTGAAGAATTCGAACTCTTATCTGCGCCGCTGAAGGAGGCCTCTGAAGAATGCTTGATCGGTGCGTTCCGCTCTGGGTTAAAACCAGAGATCAGAGCTGAGTTGAAGTTAACGAAAACTCTGACACTGCGAGAGCTGATGGAGATGGCGGTGTGTATAGAGGAGAGGAATCGGATACATGGAGATTGCAGAGAAACCCGGATCACCCGAGCCCAACGTCCTCAGTTTGGGCCCAAACCCGAAACGCTTCAACCCATTTATTCCACACGAGTTGCACACGTGACTGAAGGGAATCGCAACACGCACACTGCAACGTCTTCAGCTGCCGAAAATTCGAAGAAAACAGATACGAAAACAGAGCATTCCAAGGCTGCGAGCATTTCGAATTGGGGATCGTCGACGAAGAGGACGGGAAACTCACGACGACTCTCTGACGCTGAGATTGCAAGGCGACGTGAGTTAGGACTGTGTTTCAAGTGTGGAGATAAATACAGCCCGACCCACCAGTGCAAAAACAAGAACCTTCAGGTACTGATAATGGAAATGGGGGCAGAAAAGGAGAGAGAGGAAGATGACGCAGAGGCTGAACTTGAAGGAGGAGAATTCGAAAATGCTGATGAAGGGGCACAGATGGAATTATCTCTCAATTCCATGGGAGGATTCGGCGATAATCACACTATGAAGGTTAAAGGGAGGATCGGAGGCACTGAAGTGATAATTCTGATTGACAGTGGCGCTACCCATAACTTCATAGCTGAAAATCTGCAGAGTAAATTGAAATTACCTTTTGATGAGATTTCTGAATATACAGTTACAGTGGGTGATGAGTTTGTTGTAAAAGGGAGGAAAAGGTGTAAGGACCTCTGTTTGAGTGTCCAGGGGTACCAAATCATTCAAACCTTCTATCCTTTCACGTTGAAAGGGGTTGATGCAGTCTTGGAAATGGAGTGGTTGAAATCCCTGGAGGATGTGAAGGTCAATTGGAGCGAGTTAACAATGAAGATTGGCAAGAAAGAAAAGAGAATTTGCTTACAGGGTGATCCATCTCTCACTCGGGCTCAGGCTACTTTCAGATCACTAATTCGCTCTGTAGGAAAGAAAGGAGAGGGGTTTCTAATTGAATATAGTGGGCTCACGGGCAGCAATGAAAGTACTTTCAATTTCTCTCCTGAAATTCAGGAGTTATTGGAGAAATATCCTACTGTCTACCAAGTTCTTGAAGGCCTGCCTCCAACCCGTCCACAAGATCATGCTATTCTTATTAAACCTGGAGAGCAGCCACCGAACATAAGGCCCTATCGATACCCCCATATGCAAAAAAACGAAATAGAAGGTTTGGTGAAGGACATGTTACAGGCTGGAATTATTCAGCCAAGCAACAGCCCCTATTCAAGTCCAGTGTTGTTGGTCAGGAAGAAAGATGGAAGTTGGAGGTTTTGTGTTGATTATAGGGCCTTAAACAAAATTACAATCCCGGATAAATTTCCTATTCCAGCCATAGATGAACTATTGGATGAATTGAAGGGAGCCAAAATTTTCTCCAAGCTGGATTTGAAGTCTGGATACCACCAAATTCGGATTAAGGCTGGGGATGAACACAAAACAGCATTCAGAACACATGAAGGACATTATGAGTTCAAGGTGATGCCCTTTGGATTAACCAACGCTCCCTCAACATTCCAATCCTTGATGAATGAGGTATTCAGGGAGTATTTACGCAAGTTTGTATTGGTATTTTTTGATGACATTCTCATATATAGTGATGACTTAACCACTCATTTAAAGCATTTGGAGAATGTATTTGCTATCTTAAAGGAAAATCAGCTTGTGATTAATTTGAAGAAATGTAGTTTCGTACAACCCAAGATTGAATACTTGGGGCATCTGATATCAAGAGAAGGAGTTCAAGCAGATCCCGCTAAGATAGAGAGCATGGTGAAATGGCCAAAGCCTAAGAATGTGAAGTCTTTGAGGGGTTTCCTTGGGCTGACTGGGTATTATCGTCGATTTGTCAAGAACTATGGGAAGATTGCTAGCCCCCTTACTGATTTACTTAAAAAAGATTCTTTCAAGTGGTCAGTGGAAGCGGAAAAGGCATTTGAACAGCTCAAAACTGCCATGACTTCACTACCCGTGCTTGCAATGCCCGATTTTACCATTCCTTTTGAGCTTGAGACTGATGCGTCTGGTACCGGAATAGGGGCAGTTTTGATGCAACAAGGCAGACCAGTGGCATATTTTAGCCAAAAGCTCTTACATAGAGCCCAACAATGCTCTATTTATGAAAGAGAGCTCATGGCTATTGTTATGGCAGTTAAAAAATGGCGCCATTACCTTTGGGGGCATAAATTTATCATCCGTACAGATCAAAAAGCACTGAAGTACTTGCTGGAGCAGAGAGTGGTTGATGAGAACCAGCAGAAATGGGTGTCAAAATTAATGGGCTTCAAGTTTGAGATTATTTACAAGCCCGGAAAAGAGAATAGGGCTGCTGATGCCCTATCCAGACGAGAAGAATCACTAGAACTAATGGGGTTCTCATTATGGCAATATAATGATGTGGAAGAATGGGAGAAGGAGGTGCAAGCAGACCCGAAACTGAGCAAAATTCTACAGCAACTCCTAACTGATAAAACTGGGGTGGAAGGGTACAGCTTAGTTCATGGCTGCCTACACTATAAAGAGAGGTTAGTCTTACCAAAAAATTCCACTAGAATTCCATTGTTATTGAAGGAATATCATAATTCTCCAATAGGGGGGCATTCGGGCTACTTACGCACCTACAAGAGGCTGTCCAATGTGGTGTATTGGGAAGGAATTAAAAGGGATGTTCAGCAATATGTGGCGAGTTGTGAGATTTGTCAAAAGAATAAATATCAAGCGCTAACTCCTGCTGGTCTGTTACAGCCGTTGACTATTCCTCAAAACATTTGGGAAGACATTAGCATGGATTTCATTACCGGGCTTCCTAAATCAAAAAGGTACGACACCATTCTAGTGGTAGTGGATAGACTCACCAAATATGCTCATTTTTTCACTCTTGCCCACCCTTTTTCTGCAAAGGATGTTGCTGAAAAGTTTGTGAATGAGGTTGTGAAGTTGCATGGTTTCCCTAAAACCATAGTTTCAGATCGAGACAGAATTTTCATTAGCCAATTTTGGCAAGAATTGTTCAAGCAAGCTGGAACCCAACTTTGCCTTAGCTCATCGTATCACCCAGAAACGGATGGACAGACGGAAGTGTTAAATAGGAGTTTGGAGACTTACTTGCGCTATTTTGCTAATGAAAAACCAACTCAATGGGCTAAATGGTTGTCTTGGGCGGAATATTGGTACAATACTTCATTCCACAGTGCGGCTGGCATGACACCTTTCAAGGCGGCATATGGCCGGGATCCACCTACATTTCTGAAATTTAGTGGCGAACCTTCAGTTGTGGAAGATGTGAATGAACAGATTCAAGCTCGAAATCAGATCATTGAACAATTAAGGGACAATTTAGCTAAGGCTCAAAGTAAAATGAAGGCGCAAGCTGATAAGCATCGCCGGGACGTGCAATTTGAGATTGGGGACTTTGTTTATGTGAAGCTTCGCCCTCATCGACTAAAGACCTTAGCCAAGAGGAGCAATGAGAAGCTCAGCCCATGTTTTTATGGACCTTTCAAGGTTCTTGAGAAGATTGGAACAGTGGCCTACAAGCTGGAACTTCCAACCACCGCCCGCATTCACCCCGTATCTAATGTTTCTCAGCTCAAGCAAACGGTTTCAGTTGCTATGGCACAGCCTACCATCCCTCCGATGCTTTCTAATGAGTTTGAATTACAAGTGCAGCCTCAAGATATTAGGAAGGTGCGCCGGCTTATGAATGGACAGCGAGAAGTGTTGGTTAAATGGCAAGGCTTACCTGAATTTGAGAACTCTTAGGAATGTGCAGAAACAATTTGCAAACAGTTTCCAACTTTTCCCCTTGAGGACAAGGTGGAGCTCTTAGGGGAGGGTGATGATAGGGCCCGTTATTTTCTTAAGACATATCAGAGGAAGTCAAAGGGGAAGAATAACTCTAGTGGAAATACTTGAATCAGTCTAGAAGTTTACCCTTCAGTCCATAGCCGTAAGGAACAGTATTTTGTGATCTTTTGTAATGATTGGGATCTTTTGGGTAGTATGGGCGATGTGTCAGCCACTGAAGGTATTAGTAGTCTTTTGTTTAGGAAGGGGGGGCTAAGAAGAAGGAGACTGGAATAGTAAGGAGAGATTGGCCTCTCGAATGCCAATGGGAGTGAGACTCTTGTATTGAAGCTTGTAATCTGTGTTGCTAGAGTGTTTTATCATCTTCTAGGGGAAATAGGGTTTTGGGCCAGAATCAGAGTTCCCATGTACATCTGATTCGGTTATTCATCTCATTAATATCAAAACCTAAGTATTTTCCTCTCATATTAATTGCTGTTGCTGTCTTATTTATTACTCTTTGCTGTGATTCTGGTTTGGGACACATTAGTGTGAAAATTTCTTTTCGGAGCACATCATGCAGAGGGGAAAACCGACCCCCTTCAATCCCCTGAATCAGGGTCAAGAGATGGAGGGGAGGGGGGAACATAAAGAAAATACCCATTTAACTGATACAACCCCAATTTTGTTCTATATACTCTCTGTACACTGACTATATTGACATTGCACACTCCACTCTTACATGAACCGCTCCTTTCTCATTCTCAAAAGCTCCCATTATACCATTTGTTCGATGACCTCCAACAAAAATAACGATGTATTACATGAAACTAATACCACAGAACTTTTTTGGATCACTTATCCGGTTATTCCTACCAAAACAACAAAAATCCTTTATATCCTACAATAACTTTCCATAATTTTCATGCAACTCGTAACATACACATTACATAGCACTCCATATGAAGCAAAACACAGCCCATTTTGTGTTCTAGCAAGATCAAGATTCTGTTCATCTAAGTTCAACACAGAAAATTACCTCATTTAAATCAACAATAATTTAACAAAGGACAAGGTGCTTTAAACATACATGTATGAACAAAATCAAGAGAGGAAAAAGGGTCTGGGTGGAAGTTTAAGTACGAAAATCATATTTAGCCTTTAAATAATATAATGGCACTTGCCTGATCCCAGGTTTTAAGTGATATCATATCGGCATCAGCAGCAAACCAAGCTTCCATTCTGCATACATACCATTGCAGCACTTCATGGGCAAGTCCTTTTTGCCTGCATTTAATACCATGTCATTAAAAACAATATACTAAAATGGCAAGCTATATACAGTTATGCAATTAACTATAATCAGTTAATACCTTAATTCAGGATGCCTATCCAACACAATAGATATTGCTTGAAGAACTGACATGTCATGAGGATGCTCATCCCTCACCTTCCCTGTCTAGAGATGTCAGCAAAAGGCCTCTAAGTTCCACATTTAAGTAATCATAGTTGCTATTGTTATGGAAAACACTACAAAACACATGCTGAAAAGATCTTACCTCAGCTAGGATTCTCTTGAAAGTATCTCCAACTTCTAGGGCAATCTGTTGAGGAACTTGATGACCATCTACATTAAACAGCATATAACTGCAAAGACAAAATGCAGTTACTATATATCAATTATTATTATTAGAAATGCAGAAGTTATGGATGTCTTATAGAATTTGAGATGCCCCAAATTAATCTATTCTAGTCTTTAAAGAACATATATATCTTTAACATGATTCAAACGATATAAAAGTCAAGTATTTTAGTTTGGGTAGCATCATAGCAAAGGCAACTTGTTATCAAGGAAGTGATCTCTCCGTTTCATTTTAATTGTTATTTTTGAAGAAACATTTTGTTTCTATTTATTTGTTATTTTAAAAGCTGAAGACAACATTAATTACTATTTTGTCAAGCATACTTTTATCATCACTGACATTAATTATGGAATAAAAGAAATAATTAGAGCAAGAATAGATTAAATAAATTAAGGGCATATCAGAAAATTTAAAAGAAATTTTGACATACTAATTGTAATTCTTCATCTCTAAGCTAAAAAACAAATAAAAAGAAACAGAGTTAATATATAAATAGGCAAGTCATCGGTAATAAAACGATATTTACACAGAAGAACGTCCATGAGCACTTTATAGAGACCAACAACCTAAAATTTTGGACTAACACTGATGTCTATGTCCTGTCAAGAGAAAAAAAGGAATATATTACCAACCTAATATGAAAATCTTCTGAATCCAGCACATTTAGCTCAGATTCAGAATCAAAAGTTCAAGGCTCTGAGAGAAATGTTATTGTTCTTAAGTATTAATCTTAAGATTGCATGAATATATCATATTAAATATCTTCCGTAGAATGAGGATTTAAATCATAGATTATTACCTTTCCAAATCATGGTCATATAAGACAGAGTTATCACCACTGGTACGATATAATGTAAGCCCGAGACCACGTATTAATGGAGCCAAGGGATTCTCATTGCAAACTCCATGTAACCTGGCAAATGATCAAGAAATAACTAATTAAATAATGAAAGATCATGATGCCTTCCACGCAACCTGTTCACCTTTCATCAACAAAGCAGGGTTTTTGACTGATTGCAAAAAAAAAAAAAAAAAAAATAGCACACACAATTTCAATGAAAGAAGTTGAACTTACCATGAGGCCCCCATATCCACTGGACAACCGAATGAGTAATCAGTATGGATACGGCCACCAAGCCTATCCCGAGACTCCAGTATAGTCACCTGAAGGAATGATAAGAATAAGCTTAGAAAAAAGCTTTCCCCTGACTTGAAACGAGGAATTGGAGCCAGTAAACAAAGATGAAGTTTGAGAAGAGTGATATAACACCTTGAAAGATGCACCATAGAGACTACGTGCAGCAGCGATCCCCGAAATTCCAGCACCAATAACAATAACAGAAGGATATGGCCTGCGTTGCCTCTCAATGTGTGAGGCAATAGTTCCTAGTCATTTGACAGCAAAATTAGAAGGGGCACAAAATTTTCAGATATTACGGGAATGAACTGACAATCATGAAGTCCAATTATTATCTCTAATGCCTGGTAAACTGTCAAATCTACCCTGTATCAAGACCAAACTTATTTTGAGACCATTGTAAAGGCCTTAGTTTAGCACCACGATTGCAATCAATAACACGATATAATTCTTTCAAAAAAAAAAATCTGCGTCTTATCAGAGATTACTTTTTTTATATTTGGCAAAACAAAAAAGCTAGCTCCTTATTAATCTCGGAAAGAAAAAATAAATACAGAAGAATCTAAAATTGTCATTGAAAGAATAAATATAAAAACTAATACAAGTCGAGCACATAGACAGTTAATTGATCCAGAGTACATAATGCATGTACAGGAACCCACGTGGTTTTAATAGAAAATAATAATACTAACCATCAAGCAAATTGGCGGGGAATAATTCTTTTGGGTCCATGAGAAACAGATCACAGGCGTCAGAACAGTCAGGGGAATCAAGGGAATAGAAAGATCTCAACAGGGAGGTGGAATCAAGGACGATCAGATTGAAAATTTGAAGGGTGTATAGGAGTCAAGAAATTAGAAACCAATTGAAACGAATGATAAAAAATCAAGATGATGATGCCGGCAATGAAGCGGCTGAGATTCGACGAGAAACTGAGGTTATCAAACCAGCTCATAAGGAAGAGTAACTATATCAAACTATCCCCACGAAATATCGCCTGAGAAGGGATGCGTCGATCGTCGCTTGCATAGATCAATGGCAATGCCTCTCTCTCTCTCTCTCGATCTCTCTTCCGTTACGCCCACAATCACAAAACCACACGCTTTCTCTCCACGCAGATCGTCCGGCCCTCTTAGCAATTGACGATTACGTAATGCTCTCAAAATCCCGAGCTGCGTTTTTCTATATATAGGCGCACGAATTTTTTTAATGGCCTGGGTAATTTGGACCGAGACACGGAGAGAGTAACCTAACAAAATCCGACCGTTTTCATAAAAAGTGAAGGACAATTTTGGAACTACGAATAAAAAATTATCGTTTACTATTTGGGACGTGTTAATTATACTGTACGGTGGGCCGAAAAAGATATTTTAGAGTGCCTTAGATGGAATCAAAATTACAGATGTTGTATCACCGATGTTTTATAAATTGGAGCGAAGATGAACCGAAAAAATCAATGAATTACAATTCTCATATGATTTAATTAGTTAGGCTGACCGTCAAATCGATAATATAATAATTAAATAAAATAATATTAAAATAAAAAAATGGATCAAAACTGTTCAACTGTTTCAAATCTTGAGTTTTTCTCCAAATTAAGAACTGCTAGGGATAAAGTGAGCCTGAACTGCTCAAATGGTTAACTGCACGGTTGGATACATATATAATCAATTTTTTGAGTTAAAAAATCAATTTTTTTAGCTATTGTCCAAACATCTGAAGAAGTGGGTAATCAATTTTTTGGATAAAATTGATTTTTTTCATAAGCTAGAAATGTGAGTTTTTATGTTTGAATTACAAAGGTATGGAGAAAAATTATAAGAAAGGCTCAAGAAAAAAAATTATACAAAAAGCACAAAATTTAATAAAAATAAAATAAAATTCACTTCTCTTTTTTTTCTTTTCTTAATAAAATTTAAATTTTAGATTCTCAAAAAAGTTATTAGCATAAGTTCCTATCAATCATTACCTTCTATTTAACACTCGCTATAAAACTAATTTAAATAAAATATTAATTAGTAAAAAAAATTAACTTAATTTAAAATTAAGGGTCATTATAAAAATTGTTGCAATTATCCAGAGAGAGAGAGAGATTTTTCATTATTTGTTACATTACTACATTTTTTATATTGTCAAAATTTTTAGACAGTATTTAACATCTTTGTTAGGTATGGCTCATATTTATAATGTTAATAGAGATTAATTTATATATCATCATCTTCATTAGTTATTGTAAAATTGATATTTAGTATTTAAGAATTAAATTTTTCTCTTTTATTAAATTTATTTAAAGTAAGATATATTAAGTTATTTATTTATGTAAATTATAATTGTTAATATTAATATAATTTAAATTTTTATAATTGATCAAATATATAGTTTAAATAATATATTTTACTTTTTAAATAAAATTTAAAAAATTTAATAATATTAGGTATAAAGTTATTAATAATTTAATTTTAAAAAGTAATATCATTTATGATAATTTACACAACTAAAATTGATTTTAAATAAATTCTCCAGACATATTCAATTATGTTAAAATTAATTTAAAAAAATAGTATTTAAAATATTATAATATAATTAATTATAATTAAAATTAATTATTTAATTAATTATTTTTATAATTAATTATTTAATTAATTATTTTTATACTTAATTATATTCAATTGAAATTCAAACGGATTCTAAATCAGATTGCCTTCTTCTCAAATGATAATCCAACCGTCCCAGCCGTGAATATTAGGTATGACACGAGTGGGAGCAAGAGGTGAGAATTAGACGTAGAAGAAAAGAACATGCCAAGAATCGAAGAAAGATGAAATGACAAAAAAAGGGTTGGTGCAGGATGTCATATTTTGAAGTGGGGGCGCTTTAGTATAAGACAAGTTGGAGATGCGTTGTTCTTACAGCCTGGGCCTGGACATCGCTATCCATCCGCCACCTTCTCTGTTTCTATTAGGACGTCCTTCCTCCCACCTTCCTCTGCTTTCTTCTTGCTTTTGTTTTTGTTTTTGATTTTTTTTTTTTTGGCTTGGAAAAAAAACCACTCAGTATTCGGATTTCGGATCCGAGCCTGCAACTCCAGCTAATTCAAATTCAAACCGGTTTGAGTTTTAATTTTTTTAAAAAAAAAAACCTCTCCCAAATACATTATTTTCACTCTCACATTAAAGGGACTCCAACTCTTTCCATTTGAGCTTGTGTGTGTTAGTGGTTTGAAAAAAAAAAAAAATTAGACGGGTATAGTAGGTGAAATTGAACTCGTAACCTTGCATTGTACAAGTAAATTAATTGCCACTAGGTCATGTGGCCGTTAATAACCCTTTATTGGTGAGGCTGCTTCGCATTTTCCCTCTAGCCGCCACATAAACCAAAAGACCTTCCAACCCATGCAGAATTTTTGCCCCTCAGTTGAGTCTTTGCCACGTAATCATCATAAATTTCAGTGATGCCAGAGAGATCATCCAAAAAATATTTATTGCGTGGAAGTTTTGTTTTGTTTTTAAAAAAAAAGTGTATTTGACAGAAGTTAGAACAAAAAAAATAGATCAGAGTAAAAAAAAAAAAGATCAGAGTGATTTCCAAAAAAAAAAACAAGCATACAATTTTTTTCAGAGAATACACATTTTTACAGATACTTTTTATCAAGGCATAAGAAGAATAATTAAGAGAAGAAACGTACGGCCTAAAACTAGGTGTTGAATTTAGATTTGGTGAGTGACGTAAATATGTCTATTTAATGAATGGCTCAATTATAATCATTAAATTTTTTCAACACTTAAAAATTATTAAGTTATATTTTTCTCCAAAATTTTACAATTAAAACACTTCTAATGTGAGCAGCTCCTTTTAAAAATTTAAAATTTAATATTTAATATTTTCTGAATATTAGATAGAAAATATTTTGGCACCATTGAATTAAATTCAGCAATTATTATTATGCCATGGAGATAATTATGGAGTGGGTGAATCTATATCCAAATTCCTATAATTCTAAAAATAAAATGAGGATGAAGGCTAAACCCTCAAGATAGGGGTCAAAATATATAATATAGTGCTTGATTCAACTAATTAAAAAATTAAATTAACTTATTCTAGTATCTCAAGTTTAAGTTTTAAAATAAGCAGTCGTATTAAATAAATATATTAAAAATATTTTTGAGACATTTGCGAGAATATCATTAACAATAACTATTTCATATTGGAAGTGTTTGGATTAGCTTAAATAAGAAGGGATAATATCTTCAAATTTTATGAGATACTGGGTCGGAATAAAAAAAAAAAGTGGTCAAAATATATGGACGGCTCATTTGTAAGGCCAAGAACAACGTCATGTGGTCCAAAAGGAAATGACTTGGAATCCCCCAGTCCCCACCCCAAAAGAAGCATGCAGAGTCCTCCTCATGGTCAACGCAGAGTGGGGAATTTAACGCTGTTTTTTTGGGTAAAACCGTAAAAGGATGTAACAAAAAAAAAATACTTACCATTGTTTTTAACTTTTTATATAACGATGTTTAATTATTTATAGTATACGACCTTCTCGTAATTTAAATTTTAATCTAACTAGCATAAAAACATCTCGCGCGATGCGGCTAGAAACAATTGGTATACTTTGGTATAAATATTTTTCAAGTGTCAGCATAATTATGACATTATGTAAAGGGTTAAATACTTGTCATGTGAAATCAAAGTACCTCCTATGCACGCAAAATAATTGAACAGTTATAAATATTGTCATGACACGTAGATATCCATAATCTTTTGGAATTGGAAGTGATCTTTTATTTTTAGTGTTATATCATGTTTATTAGAAACATAAGCCCTATGGCAAGGTGTCAGTAAAATAGATTGTTTTTTAATATATTCTGGTTTAGTATCCTAATTTAACATTACAAATTTACGAAATTACATGGTGAAATCTTGTGTTCGCGGAATCTGAAATAAATCACATTAGTTATGACATGAGAAAAAATTGCTTTTCTTTTTACAGATTTTTTATTATTCCCCATTGTTCTTACGCAATATCATGACTATTGAATGCTAATCAGTTCTGATACGACGAGGTTATATCAATAGAAAAAATTTTCGTAGAAAGAACATGAATCTAAAAATTATTTTATTTTTATTTTTAAATCAGAGAGGTAGGCACCAATAACCTAACTGGTTAAAAGCAAGACCAAACCCATAATCTGATTGGCTACAATTGGGACCAAAGTCATCAGAGTCACCTCTTATTTACAGGAACGTTCATCATGTCATTAAGCTACATAGTCATTTTCTAAAAATTCCAATTTTAAAAGAAGCACGGGTACATTGAGTCTCGCTTAAACCTTATAGATGGTTACTTTAGTTTTTTTATTTTCTCTTTCACCATTCATAGTCTTTCTTTGTATCGCCGGTGTGGTGTTCGTATATTTATAGTTAAAAATAAGGGTTGAATCTGGGAGGTTAGACTTGAAAACTTTATTTAAATAAAAGTTTGTGTTCATCAAATAAAGAATTTTTAGAATAGCAGGGCTTCTAGGCTCGCCCTAATAAACCTTAAAAAAAAGGAGCTTGGCCAAGTGACCCTCTAGGCCTTATTTTATTTTTTTCCCTCCTGCCTTAAAATGTACCATTTGGCAAATGAAAAATAAAAATTCTAAGCATTTAATTATTTTAAATTATGTAGCTATCTTTATCTTTTAACCCAACCTCTCCCTCTCGCTCTCTCTTTTTCTTTAGTTTTCTCGTTTCTTCCACTTATCTTTTGACTTAACATTTCTTGACTTGGTATCTCCCTTTTGGCGTTTTATTGCTTTGGCCTTTTGATTTTCTTATTTTTAGATAATTCCTCTTCTAGCATAGACTTTTTTTTAGGCCATGGACATCTAAAAGCTCAATTTGATACTCGCTTTTAAGATTTTAATTTGATTTAAAAATTTGAATCCCTCATCTTATTCTGTGAGGGTTATATCAATATGCCTCATTTATTTTGTTTATGAAACTTTGTTGTGATTTATGATGACATCAACTAACATGTATTAAGACTTTTAAATATTCTATTCACTTTCTAAATTATGTGAGACTTTGATTTAGTTTATGTTAAATTTTATAGTTAAATTATAATGTAAAATGTTATGCCGTTGAATTAAATTATTTTTTAGAATAATAATATTAAA